GGGGAGACTCAGGAAGGGGGACAGCCTGCTGGGTGGAGGGAAGCGTGGCCCGGGTGGTTCTGTCCTGACACATATTCGGGCTTGGGGGATGCTCAAGATTAGCTGATCCGAGAAGCAAAGTAGAGGAAGAGACAGCCATCGGAGGGGAGATATTTAGAATTGGGACCAGATTTTCCTCCAAAGGGGAGGGGCTGGGGTGAGAGAAAAGAGTCGGCGGATTAAGGGAACAGGCTTAGAGTCAGACAGAGGGATAACAAAGCAAGGTCAGAGTCTCGATTGCTGGCAATCGAGAAAGTAGGATTTAAAGTCAGAGATCATGGGACTATAGAATTTGCCTCTTGACCCCTAACCCTCTTGTCTGGACTATCGACTGTTAGCCTATTACCCATCCATGGCCTGCTTTTGCGGTATGGGCGAACCTCTTGTGATGACGGCGTACCAGAGTGGAGCGTGTCAAGTAGGTGACTGCTGGGCCATTACATCAATCGTGTGCAAACAAATAAATAAATAAATAATGACTATGACCACAGGAAGATCATGGGGGAAGAAAGCAATGACCTGCTGGTCTCCCAGGAATCTCAGGAACAACCTTTCTTTTCATGGATCCTTTCTTTTGGTCAAAGGGGGACTAGCAAGAATTCCATAGAGTTTCGGGAACACTTTTGTGAATGTTCTTCCAGGCTTTTAAATAGATAGATAGATAGATAAGCAGTCTATATCTTTTACAAAATTGGACCATATCAATCTACATCCTACTTTTAAAAATAATAATTTTGTTTTACTTTAAATTAATATTTTCTTTTTTCCCCCTAACTTTTTATTAGAAAAAATGTATTGCAGTTGAAAGAATAAGAGTTCAGTGCGCATCCATATGCTTTTCACCTAGATTCAATCATTATTAGCACGTTACCATATTTGGGCGAGCATGTGACAATATTCCATCTTGTGGGAATAGTAGAGCTTGGTGGTTTGAATGTGGAGTCCGCTGCTCTGGGTCCCAAAGCCAGTTCTGCTGGTTTCTAGCAGTGTGGCTTGACCTTGGACAAGATCTTTAGCATCTCAAAGCCTGTTTCCTCAACTATAAAATGCGGATGATACCTCGGAAATTTCAGAGGATTCAATGGGATAATGTTGAGCATGTAATAAATTCTCAGTAAATATTGTTTGGGTACTTGTTTTATCTCTTCACTCAGCCTGGAAGTTAGGGACAATCTCTTAACTGGTTTCACTTTAAATCCATGTTCATTACCCTCATGTGGGCCCTAAGTGCTGCCTGGTAATCCTACCTACCATGTCTCATCGTTCACTCTCTTACTTTCTTACATGATTATCTCACTCTTTCTCTTTTCTCCTCACACCTTTTTTTTTTTAATATTTTATTAATTGATTTGAGAGAGAGAGAGAGAGAACACAAGCAGGGGGAGCAGCAGACAGAGGGAGAGGGAGAAGCAGGCTCCCCGCCAAGCAGAGAGCCCGATGTGAGGCTCAATCCCAGGACCCTGGGATCATGACCTGAGCTGAAGGCAGACGCTTCACCAACTGAGCCACCCAGGCGTCCCTAAAGTGATTTCTTAGAAACAGGTCAAACCATGTTCCCTCTGCCCCAAACTTTGTAATGCTTTTCCATCAACTCAGAAAAAAGTCCAAGCCTTTGCTCTGGTCCAGAGATATTCATATTCTGGCCACCCACCCAACTTCATTTCTTCTGCTCTCTCCCTTATTCACTCAGCTCCAGCCGTGGTGGTTTTCTTACTCTTCCTTGAACATAACCAGGCACAAAACCTGCTTCAGGGACTTTCCACCTCATGTTTCATCTGCTTAGAAGGCTTTTCTCCTACACACTGACAGGACTTCCTTTTATATGTTACTGAAACCTCTGCTCAAATGTCACTCATCAGAGAGGCCTTCCTAGACGGCGCTGTTTTATTTTCCTTCTTGGAACGTGTCAAGCTGGCATAGTTGTTTAATGAGTTCAGGAACTTTATTTTGCTCACTGCTGTGTCCCCAGTGTCTAGAATAATACTTGGCATGTATGAGGCCCTGACATCTTGGTTGAATAAATGAATCTCGTGTTTCTTCTATACCCTATAAGTGCATAGAACAAAACACAAGTAAGTGGCTGATAAATATTTATCAAAATCGGGTCTAAATGGCATAATCTACATAACATAAACTGGATTCTATCAGCTTATTAAAGCAGAGCCCTGATATCTGGCAGTCATTCAACCAAGGTTTGCATCAGTAAAATGAGGGAGAATGCTGTATACTCCACTGAACTATTCTAAGGATGCGATGGCAAAACCTTCGTGAGAAGCCTGTATTTTAGCAAATAGCAAGTACTCAAATTGTGAAATGAGTAAACAGACTCCAAGGGTACCTAGGAGCCCACAGGCGTGACTCTCTCTCAAGATCAAGTGTACCTTGAGATAGGAATGTCCAGATGGAGCAGCTCTATTGATATAATTCCAAGGAAGGGGAATTCCTATTATTTTAAATTTAACTCTCCATCTGGACAGAGAAGCTAGAAAAAAGCACACATATCAGTTGATTAATCCAATTTCAAATTCATGGCCATGACCTTAGGAGGGGCCCCAGTGCTTCCCAGCAATGGGAATATTACTGTTCCCTAGTTCATTCACTTTCTTACTTTGCTTAAATGAGTATTTCATACTTTCTTTCCCCCTTCTTTCCTTCAAGACCTCTTCCCTTCTCCTCTTGGATGATGACCTTGTTACCTATTTTACTTCAAAAACAGAAGCAATGAGAAGAGACCTTGCAAATGTCCCCACCTGCCTGCCTCTGGGCCTATAAGATCTGCCTTCCCTCCAGTTACTGTGGGTGATCTGTGCTTAGCTCCTGTTCAGGGCCACCCACTATTTAGGCACTAGATCTCACCCCCTTTCTCTTCCAGCAAGGATCCTCTTTCTTTCTTTCTTTCTTTTTTTTTAAGATTTTATTTATTTATTTGACACAGAGAGAGAGATAGTGAGAGATAGTGAGAGCAGGAACACAAGCAGGGAGAGTGGGAGAGGGAGAAGCAGGCTTCCCACTGAGCAGGGAGCCCGATGCGAGGCTCGATCCCAGGACGCTGGGATCATGACCTGAGCCGAAGGCAGATGCTTAACGACTGAGCCACCCAGGCGCCCCAAGGATCCTCTTTCTGTCCCTACAGTTTGCCCTTCTCTACTGAATCATTTTCTTTCTTTCTTTCTTTTTTAGATTTTATTTATTTGAGAGAGAGAGAGAGAGAGAAGGAGCATGAGCAGGGGGAGGGGCAGAGGCAGAGGGAGAGGGAGAAGCTGACTCCCTGCTGAGCACAGAGTCTGATGTGGGGCTCGATCCCAGGACCCTGGGTTCATGACCTGAGCTGAAGGCAGATGCTTAGCCCACTGAGCCACCCAGGCGCCCCTCTACTGAATCATTTTCATAAAACACAATCATTCTATAATTTCTGCCATCTTAAGTGAAATCTTCTCATGCCCATATCCCCCTCAAACCACGGTCCCACCCCCATTTTTGGGGAACTCCTTCTCTCTTTGCTGTTTCAATCTCTCTCCTCCATTTCCCTCATGAACCTACTCTAACCAGACTTTTGCTCCCTTCCTCCACTGTGACTTCTCTTGTCAAAGCCACCAGTGATTTCCACACAACAAAACCCAGTGGTCAATCCCCAGTCTTCATCTTACTTGGCCTACCTGCAGAATTAGACACAACTAATCACTCTCTCCTGCTTGAAATAGTTTCTTCACATGCTTTCTAAATTCCTATACTCTCTTGGCTTTTCTCCTACCTGACTTCTCAATTTTCCTTACTGATTTTTCCTCATTTCTACAACCTCTCATCACTGGAATGCCCCAGGATTTGACCCTTTTCTCTTTATCTGATGGTGATCTCACAGTCTGATGGCTTTAAATGTCATCCATATGTTAATAAAGGCCTAATTTATATCTCTAGGCCAGATCCTGCTCCTTAACTCCTCTTGAATATCCAGCAGCTTATAAAAGCATCTCCTCTTGAGTAATTAATAGGCCTCTCTTTTTTCCTAAAACCTGCTGCTCCTGCTGTCTTCTCCATTTCGGGAAACAATTCTGTTTTTTTCAGTTCCTCAGGCCAAACACTTTGGAGTCATCCTTGACCCCTTTCTCAAAATGCCACTTATCCCATCAACCAGTCCCTTTGGTCATAGCTTGGAAATATACCCAGGATCGAACCACGTCTCACCACCTCCACCGCCACGGTGCTGACCCCAGCAACCATTACCTCCTGCCTAGTTGTCTGCAATAACCTCCTAGCAGGTTTTCCTGCTTCCTCCCTCGTGCCCGCTTTGTGCAAATTGATGGTCTCCGGTGCCTTCTCATCTCACTTATAAAAGTCGAACTCCTTAAGAGGACTCCCGGGGCTCTACGTCATCTGCCCACCCTAGTTATCTCTGATCTGGTCTCCAGCCCCCTTCCTCCTGCTTCCTTCCTCTCTCCACTCCAGCTGCATCGGTCTCTTGCTATTCCTCAAATAAGCTCATCTCACTTCCACCCACGGTCATTGGAAGCTTCTGCCCGGACTCGGGTAACCCTTCTTCACTTATCTCTTTTAGCTTTTGGCTCAAATGCCACTTTCAGACAGAATTTTCCTGACCACTCTGTATAAAACTGTGTTTCTCCATTCCCACAAGCACTCACCACCCGCTTCCCTGTCTTTTCTCTGTAACACTTACCACCACCTAACCTAATATTTTATTAGTCTCTCTGTGTACTAGAATGTAAACTCCATGAGGGCAGGGGTTTTGTCTGTTTTGTCCTCTGCAATGTCCCTAGCACCAATAAATGCTTGTTGAATGAATTTTAATGACTTTTCTCCCTCTCTCTGATCTTCAGACCCACTTCTTCAAAAGATTAAGGAGTGCACCTGGTGATAGGAGGACTTTAAATTGTTGATGATGAGTCTAAAGGGATGGCACCTTAATACTTCTATGAATATCTAATACTCTGATTTCTCTTTTCCAGCTTAATACCAAAACATCCCCAGCAACCAACCAGGCACCTGGCCCAGAGGAAAAGGGTGAGTGGGGTTGGCCCAGGTGGTTTGTAGAGTGGGTAATTACAGAGATATGAGGACAGGTAGGGCTATAAGTCTGGAAGCTCCTAGAGTGGGATGTAATTGGAATAGGAATATGGACAAGTGAAACAAAGCATTAGGTTAGAACCACTATACCTGTAGGCTTTCTTCCACTTTTTCCTAAGAAGTAAACCTACCAGTATTTACTCCTTGATTGTGGAAGCTAGCTCTGGAGTGCTTGGAAACAGGCACTGTGATAGGAAGAGGCTCGTGAGATAATCCAGCCACTGTCTCAATCAGAAATTGAGGGAAAATGGGGCGCCTGGGTGGCTCAGTTGGTTAAGCGACTGCCTTCGGCTCAGGTCATGATCCTGGAGTCCCTGGATCGAGTCCCGCATCAGGCTCCCTGCTCGGCAGGGAGTCTGCTTCTCCCTCTGACCCTCCCCCCTCTCATGTGCTCTCTCTCATTCTCTCTCTCAAATAAATAAATAAAATCTTTTAAAAAAAAGAAATTGAGGGAAAGCTGGGGAAAGTCAATATGCTCTGGGACTCTGAGTTGTAAGACTGAGGAATAAGTGATGACAGAAGACATTTGTCATCTTGGTCTAAGAGTAGCAAAGCTCCTAAGTAACTAGAGCTAGTTCTCAGCCTCAGTACCCTGACTCAAGCTTCCAGGAGAGTGATCAGGCATTATTGGTCCTAGCAAAGACTGGAGAACCTCCCAGAGCCCAGCAGGAAGTGGACCCTAACCACTGTATTTGGGGCCTGGAGAAAGGTGCAGGGGCAATGCCGGTTTGCTCATCAGTGAATCTCTCAACTCTCTGCAGGGAAAGCTGGTGCTGCCAAGAAGGCTGAGGAGGAGGAGGAGATCGACATTGATCTGACAGCTCCAGAAACGGAGAAGGCTGCCCTTGCTATTCAGGGCAAGTTCCGGAGATTCCAGAAAAGGAAAAAGGATCCTAGCTCCTGAATAACCAGCCTTGTCCTTCACTCTCTCCCTTTTCTCCCCTTCGCTGCAGTTCTGACTCCTATGTGTCTTTGTCTCTTTGTCCCTCTAGCCTCTTGTTGAGGCAAGTTCAATCCTTATATATTATTTTCTCTGGTCCCCCCCAAGCCATCGCAACAGTGGAGGCACAAGGAACGTGGGGGAGGATGAAGAATTCAATTGGCAGCCACTTGCCTGAGGGTAGACCAGTTTGTCCTTGGGACAAGCCTCCTTGACCAGCACCTATGTCTGCCCCATGAGGTTGAAGAGCAAGAGGCTTTGAGGTTGAGAGAGGGACCCCTGGCAGTCGGCGGGGGGGGGAAGCAGTCAGAGTAGGGTGCCTGAGGGGGGGCCTAGGCACTGTTCCGCCAGTTACAACAGTCACACTTCAGGTAACGTGTTTCTGCTCTTCACATCCTTCTGCACCAACACATCCTCCTTCCCTCCTATGAGCTAAGCGACCGTGGGGACCGGAGCCTCCCTCTCCTCGAGGCCAACCCAGATCAAGCACCTTCCACATTAGTGCATGCTGAGTAGATGAGTTCCAAGGCAGGGAGCCTGGGACGGGTGGAGGCCAGAGAAAGTTGCCTTCACCGTCCAGTCTAGGACCATCAGGGGCAGAGGCAGAAGAGGTTTCAAAGGGCCGCGGGCAGGGAGATGGGCCTAGAGTAGATTTGGGGGGGAAAGAGAGGTAAGGGCAGGGAGCTTTCTGGAAACACAGCTACTGCCGGTAGACGTGTACTAGACAAAGGATTTCTGCTACCCTGCCTACCTCTAACTTCCCAAATCCAGCCATCCCTAGAGGCCGCGCCAACCAAGGGACCCCTGTAGTTTCCACCTGCCCCACTGCGGAGTCAGAGCAGAAGTGGAATAGCCACTCTGTGTGATTCGAGCATGTTTAATCATGATTAAAAAAGAAAAAACCCCAGTGGGGTCATCTAACCTCTACTTCTGCTTTTTTCTTGGGAGGAATGCGAATGTAAGCCTGAGCTGGCCTCAAGGAGGGTGGGAGACTGACCGCATGGACCACACCCTGGCACAGGAACTGAACATGTAGACTGAAGCCCACCCCTGCCTCCCCCGCCCCCGGACCTTGCCCTCACCTTGATTCACCGCCGACACGGTCTCTGTCTGAGGCTGTCACCGCCCCTGTGCACACCTGTGAGGCTGCTCATCACCTCCCCGCTCACCTTCCGGCTCAGAGCACGCTTGGGATCTATGCCTTGGAAAACAAACCCAACCTTCCTTGCTCCCTATCCCCAAATGACCTGTCCACCCTGTCCCCCCTGCTCTGTCTTCCTCCCACATTCCCTCTCCCTCCCACTGTTTCTCTAACTTAGGGGAAGGAGAAGATGACTCTGGATCTGAGAGAGCACCACTGACGTGCTGAAGATTTTAAACCGTGAATTAAATAAAATGATGGCATTCAGGGCCGCTTGCACTGCTGAGAAATGGTCTCTATACAGTGAAACTGGAAGCTGAACACTGGAAGATCAAGCAAGAAAAGCTCATTCTCATACACTCTCTTCACTTCTTAACATTCACCCTTCCTTTCCTGATTCAAGAATACAGGAGCTGAGGGGTGCCTGGGTGGCTCAGTCGGTTGAGCGTCCGACTCTTGATTTCAGCTCAGGTCGTGATCTCGGGGTTGTGGAATCGAGCCTGCGTGGAGCTCTGTGCTCAGCGGGGAGCCTGCTTGAGATTATCCCTCTCCCTCTGCCCCTCCCCTCACTAAAAAATACATACATACATACATACATAAAGTCTTAAATTAACAAAAAGAATGCAGAAGCTGAAACCATGTAGCAGCTGGGAGTAGGAAGCAAGGGACAATATCCCTGGAAGGCAACCTATATCCCAAAGTTGATCCTTGCCTAGCAAGCCCGGGGCTACAGGATATTCCATGGATATGAGATGGGTGTTGGCCGGGCCTCAGCTTGGTCTGCCCCTGTGGACGTTGAGGTAAGACAGGTGCTCCCTTTTCCCGGTGATCTGGGCTTCTGAGAACAGGGGGTGCTAAGCCAATGGCAGGGTTCGCCACCAGCCCTCTCCTATTGACTCCGCTGTTTGGACGGTTATCTGCCTATTGGTTTTTTTGCCACATTGATCTGGAGTACGGTGCTGAAATGTTTTTCCCCTTCACCATTTCTTGCTCTAGAAGCATTACACTTGCCCTCAGACGTCTTTTAAAAGAAAGGGCATTGTAGCAAAAATACCGTCTGTAGCTTTGGGAAAGATGGTTCTCAGTGGTAGTTCTCAATAAAGGTTCTCAAAGCTAGTTTCTCTCTGCCAGTCCTACTTCTACTGCACGGCGCTCGAATTGACCCTCTTCTCCTGTAGCTCCTCCTTGGGACCCTGGGCTTGGGCTGGGATCTCTTGCTTAGGGCCCTAGAGCCCTATTTCTCTTCCCTGTCCCTCTGGTTCCTGCCGCTGGAGACACAATCCTGGAGTATTGATCAGTAAGGAATTGTTCTTGGGTACTTTGTTTTGTGGAGCAAAGACTGCAAGTCTTTGGGGACTGGTGAGTGCTCTTCTAATACGTAGCTTAAGAGAAGAGACAGGAGAAACAGTCAAGGGGAAAAAAGCAAATTCAGTTATCACATGTCTATCACTGACATGCCTTTTGGTGCTTTTCCATCTGTGTAGGGAGGGGTGTCGAGCTGGGAGGATAGCCCTGATGAAAGTGGAAGAAGTCTGGAGATCTGAGCAGGGGGAATACTTCGGAATATGTTCCCAGAGCCCAGACTTGAGGGTGAAGGTTTTGGGAGAAATTCAGGCAGCTAAAGGGGACAAGGATTCTGCTTCCCAGGACAACCTACTTTCAGGGACTTGAAGTCCTTGCTGGGAAGGGCTCTTGACCTCTCCTTGATCTGGCCCTAGTATAGAGGCAGCTTTCCCATGTCCGTCTCTTTCTCTTGCACTTGACTCCTGCCCTAATGTCCTTTTGGGGAGCTGCCCTTCCTGCCCACTTCTGCCTCTCTCTGCCCCTCTTCTCCTTGCTGTGTTTCCTTTATTTCTGGGGTTGTTTGTGGGGGTGGGGGGTGTGTGGCTATTCTTGGGAGCGACTTTGTTCCTGCTGTACTTGGTCCCTGAGACTCAGCCCTTACGGGAATCACTCTACAGTGAGCTGTTCCTTCCTGTTCTTCACCATCTTCTCTCCAAATGCAGCACCTCTGCTGCCTGTGCCTATGAAGACTGAGGGTTTGGAGGTCAGGGGGTTTGTTTCTTTTCTGGTTGTTCGGGTAGCAGCTAGACTTGAGATCTACAAAGACAGAGACTCACAGTCCATAGATGGTCAGAAAGTAAGCCCTTTCTCAAGGCTGCAGGAAATGCTTCCTTATTCCCTCCTTGACCACGTCCCTCCTCCATCCAGCCTTGGCATCCACAGTCCTCCCTCTTCCACAGCATTCTATTTTTCCCTTAGTGTGATGATGATGATGATGATGGTGATGATGATGAGGATAGTAATTGGCCTTTCTTACCTAGTCACCTAGATCTTACCAGCCTAGGTCTTACCAGTCACCTAGATCTTACCAGCCTAGATCTTACCTAGTTACCTAGATCTTACCAGCCTAGACCTTACCTAGTCACCTACATCTTACCAGCCTAGACCTTACCAGTCACCTACATCTTACCAGCCTAGATCTTACCAGTCACCTAGATCTTAGCAGCCTAGATCTTACCTAGTCCCCTAGATCTTACCAGCCTAGATCTTACCTAGTCACAGATCTTACCAGCCTAGATCTTACCTAGTCACCTAGATCTTACCAGCCTGGATCTTACCTAGTCACCTAGAATCTTACCAGCCTGGATCTTACCTAGTCACCTAGAATCTTACCAGCCTAGATCTTACCTAGTCACCTAGATCTTACCAACCTGGATCTTACCTAGTCACCTAGATCTTACCAGCCTAGATCTTACCTAGTCACCTAGATCTTACCAACCTGGATCTTACCTAGTCACCTAGATCTTACCAGCCTAGATCTTACCTAGTCACCTAGATCTTACCAACCTGGATCTTACCTAGTCACCTAGATCTTACCAGCCTAGATCTTACCTAGTCACAGATCTTACCAGCCTGGATCTTACCTAGTCACCTAGAATCTTACCAGCCTGGATCTTACCTAGTCACCTAGATCTTACCAGCCTAGATCTTACCAGTCACCTAGATCTTCAAGAATGAAACCAGGGAGCCATCTCTGCTAGATTAGCTGCAAGTATTCTTACTCACATGTAACTGTCAGCTTCGGTTTCATCATAGTGAGGGTCCTTAGGAATGCTCATCCCCCAACTTGGGGTAACTCCCTAACCTAATGCTCTCTCAAGGGCATGAATGGTGATGACTATAATCATATCTAAGATTTGCAAAATACTACATGCCAGACACTGTACTAAGCACTTTTATATAATCAACTCATTGAATCCTTAGAACCATATAACATAGATACTATTATCCCCATTTTACCCATGAAGAAACTGAGGCACAGAGAGATTAAATAACCTTCCCAAAGCAAAGTGAATGGTTGAGCAAGGACCGGAACCCAGGCAGTCTGGCTTCAGAATCTGTGCTCCTTGTACCACCTTGATAAGGGACAGGATGAGTGAAGGCAGACAGCTTGGAAGGCACTGATGTTGTCCAGTCAAGTTTGAGAGCAGAGATTCCCTTAGCTGAGCTCAGGCATGCCTACTTGGTCTCCTGCGGCCCACACAGGTAAGATCTGGATCCTCTCTGGCCCCCCTCCTTCCAGGGAAGGACCAGATCTGGCTTTACCTGCCTGCTCTGCCAGACTCCTCCTAGAATTCTACTGGTGCCTGATCTCATCCACTGCCTCCCCTGGTGCTGGATGAAGTGGAATGGATAGAGAAGTGGGCCTCAGAACTTGGGAGGTAGGGCTGATATGTGGGCCTAGAGGGAGGGTCGATAGACTCACATGAGGTCTAAGGCTGAGTAGATGTGGGCATCATGAAAGGAAACCAAACTCTTCCTTAACTCATGGGAGGGTTCCTGGTCACATTTAGTCCCCTCAGCCACTTCTCAACAGGGGGACGTACTGCCCTCTAGGGGATGTTTTGGAAATCCGTGAGGGTAATTTTTGGTTATCTGCATATGTTGGGGGGTTGTTGGGTGGGCATGGAGGAGGGTCTCCTGGTATTATTTCATGTCTTGGGGCCAAAGATGCTAGGCATCCTGCAATGATCAGGACAGTGCTGCACAAAATGTCCCACATCCCACATGTGTTCAAAAGTCCCACCGGATACCAATGTAGATGAAAAACCTCTTATCAAGGGAGCCTAGGACTCCGCTTCATTTTACATATGAACACAAAGTATTTTTTGAACCATTTCAAACACTGAATCCCCCAGAAATGCAACTAACACGTAGATTGAAGGAACTTATCATTTACTTTGTTCAGAACTTTCACCAGGAGTTGCTTACCATTTCAGAAACCCATGTTGTCAAAGATGCCGCTGCGGATACCCGTCCACGTGCATCTCTTGCTGTTGCACTCACAAGGATTCTGTACTAAGTTCAAAGCTCTGACTACTATATGATATGTGTAGTCATACCTGACATTACATGTTAAAATGCTTTCCATTTTAGAGGTGCCTGGGTGGCTCAGCTGGTTAAAATACTTTCCATTTTATTACAAACTAATCTTTTATTTCACCTTTACAATATAGTTAGAGAGAGCATTAGATTCACTTTTCGAAAGTAGGTATCTAGTTTATATTGCATATGAATATTGTTCAGGAGGGAAAAAAGGGGCACTGGACTGAGGGCATTAGGAACTATTGCCCTAAGCCTTTGGAAAGCCAGGCCCAGCACTAGCCTGAAGATTCAGGACTCTTTCTTCTGCTTCCACGCCTTTTCTCTCTGAAAGAGACCCCCAAAGCTTCCAGCTAAGCTTTAAGTCTTTACCATGTGCGGGGCACTCAGAGAGGGACCACAAGATAAATAACAGGATTTGGGGGGGAGGGGGGCTCAGCTGGGAGCCACATTTAATGCCTAGGAAGGAAAGCCTTTGCAGGACAAAAGGACCATGTCTGCCTTGTGATGGTGTCTGAATTGTGAAGCAGACAGCAATAGACTGAGATCCAGACCAGCGCACAGTTAAGTTAGGCCCTTCTCCCCGACGGTGCTGGGGGAGAAGTTCCTCTACTTCCTTCAACTGAAAAGAGAGGAAAAGGGAGGGAGGAGGCGAATGATGAGGCACTATCATGGATAGGACTTCTACTCTGTGCCAAGTGCCTAGTGACATGGCTTACACATATTCTCAATGTCTTCTTTGAAATGCACCATAGGTTAGATATTAACTTAACCTAACTCAAGGTTTTGAGGTCAGGTCATTTGTCCTAGTTCACAGAGAGCTACAGCAGGAATTAAAACCAGGTCTGGTTTGATGCCTGTTTTAGGTCTTGCCAAAAACAGGGGTGAGTTCCTTC